TACACGCGATTGGAAGTTCATGCGCCGGCGATTCAGGAGATGACCGTCCGTTCTATAGGCGATGCGGATCCCGGGGCGTTCGTCGCGGTAGGCGTCCATCAGCATGGCAGAGAACATGAGACTGAAGAGGGTAGGCGCCAGCGCACAGCCTTGCTTCACTCCGTTGGTCACTGCGAATGCCTCTGAGACAGCTCCGTTGTCCGTGACTCGCGCCATCATACCGTCGTGCAGCTGACGCACCATCTGAGTGAATCGCTCCGGACAGCCGAATTTCTGCATAATCTTCCACAGTCCTTCACGATTCACCGTGTCGAAGGCTTTCGTCAGGTCCACGAAGGTAGAGTACAAGTGGGTCCGCATCTCCTGGCACTTCTCCTGAAGTTGGCGGGCTGCGAAGATCATATCCGTGGTCCCACGATGACGACGGAAGCCGCATTGGCTTTCCGGCAGAAGGCCCTGTTCCAGATGGATGTTGAGGCGGTTGAGCAGGATGCGAGCGAAGATCTTCCCGGCGATGTTCAGTAGGGAGATGCCGCGGTGGTTGTCGCAGACTTGGCGATTCCCTTTGCGCTTGTATAGGTGCACGGTAGTTGCGTCCTTGAAATCTTGCGGGACTTCACCTTGACGCCACATCTCCTGGAAGAGCGCAGTCAGGTGATGCATCAGTAGGGGACCTCCGTGCTTGTAGACCTCAGCAGGGATTGCGTCCGATCCGGGTGCTTTCCCGCTGGAGAGCTGCTGCACGGCCCTAATCGTTTCCTGGAGAGATGGCGGGAGGTCGAGGTCCGCGTTGGTAGCCACTTGCGGCAAGCGGGCGATGGCGGCTTCGGATGTAGGGGTGTCAGCGGTGGGTTCACGTGAAGGTCGTAGTGGTCGCTTACTTTCTTGCAGGTGAGACTACGCCTAGCGTCCACTTGCTGGCACTCAACTCTCACCTGTGGCTCCACGTAGCTGGGCTCTGCTCAGCGGCCACACCCCGGGCAACCGTCTCGACCGGCGGGCTAAACCAGGTGAGGGCGGTTACTCCCTGTGCCCGTTGTGCCGCGTGCACAGGTGACTGCGGACTCCGTGGACGGTTGGTCGGATGGAACACCGCGTCGGCGCCGTCGTGACGAGGCTCTGTCTGACACACCGCTGGTCAGCCGGTTGGTGGTGGAACGTCGCATCGGCATCGTCTAGACGAGGCTCCGCCTGGTACGCCGTTGATCAGCCGGTGGGATGGATCTCCGAATTGGCACCGTCGACACGCGCCCATCTGGTGCACCGTAGGAGACCGCAGGCTTGCGGCAATGCCGTAAGCCATTGGCAAATTCGAGTCGTTCTTCCACTGCCAAAAAAACTCGTGGCCCACAGTGGAGTGCGGCCGCGCCGGCACATCAAGCAGCCCCTATTCAGGGGTCAGGGCACTGCTTCCTTCGGGGGGGGCCTGGAAAAGCTAGCCTAAAAATTGTTGGTGAACCACGTCGTCTGCTGGCGCACCGTGGTCGCAGACGCAAAACTCACGGTCGAAACAATCAAACTCGAAACAACAACAACAACAACCATACTCATTCTCCTCATCCTACCTCTTCTACCTCTACCTCCGTCTATTCTTCTGCCTATTCTTCTCCTTCGTCATCTTCTTCTCCACCTCCTTCCCATCGCCCAACTCGTTTTCCCCAGACTGACAGGGTGAGCCCGCTCACTCTGGCAGCCTGGAATGTTCGTTCCCTTTTAGACAATCCGAGGAGCAACCGACCGGAACGAAGGACGGCGTAGTGGCACGAGAACTGGCGCGCTACAAGGTGGACATCGCCGCACTCAGCGAGACCCGATTCTCCGAACAAGGCCAACCGGAGGAGGTGGGTGCCGGTTACACCTTCTTCTGGAGTGGCCGACCCAGGGCAGAGCGACGAGACGCGGGCGTCGCCTTCGCCATCCGGACCGACATCGTGGGACGACTGCCCTGTTTGCCGCAGGGCATCAACGATCGCCTGATGAGCCTCCGCCTGCCTCTCTGGGGAGGCAAATTCGCCACCATCATCAGCGCCTACGCTCCGACGATGACCAACCCCGACGCCGTCAGAGACAAATTCTACGAGGACCTGCACGCCCTCTTGGCGGCTGTGTCGAAGGCGGACAAGTTGATTGTCCTTGGTGACTTCAACGCCCGCGTCGGCACAGACCATACTGCCTGGAGGGGAGTGCTGGGTCCCCACGGTCTCCGCGGCTCCAACGACAACGGCCTGCTTCTCCTCCGCACCTGCGCAGAACACCGCCTCACCCTGACGAATACCTTCTTCTGTCTGCCGGTGCGAGAGAAGGCCACCTGGAGGCATCCTCGGTCGCGTCAGTGGCACCTGCTGGACTATGTCCTCGTCCGGAGGCGAGATCAGCGGGACGTGCTGGTGACGAAGGCGATCGCGGGTGCTGACGGGTGGACCGACCATCGGCTCGTCATCTCGAAGATGCGTATTCGCCTACAGCCTCGCAGGAGACCACAAGGTAAGCGACCCCCAGGTAAGCTGAACGTTGCTTTGTTGTCTTTGCCTGCTCACCGTCTCCATTTCAGCAATGAGCTAGCTCAACGGCTAGACAACCTTCCTATCGCTGCCGCCGCCGACGACGCCGCCGACGCTGCCGAGAACGCCTCCGTGGAGAACCGCTGGTGTCAACTGCGTGACACAGTCCAGTCGACGGCGCTCGCCGTCCTCGGTCGCGCTCCCCGCCAACACCAGGACTGGTTCGACGACAACTACGCCGCCATCAGAAATCTGCTTGCCGAGAAGAACCGCCTACACAAAGCCTACGTAGAGCACCCAACTGAGGGCAATAAAGCTGCCTTCTACCGCAGTCGCCGACAGCTTCAGCAACGACTGCGCGAGATGCAGGACGCCTGGACTGCTCGCAAAGCTGAGGAGATCCAAGGGTACGCGGACCGCAACGAATGGAAGAAATTCTTCTCCGCGATCAAAGCTGTCTACGGTCCGCCGACGAAGGGCACTGCTCCTCTCCTCAGCGCCGACGGCAGCACTCTCCTGACTGAGAAGACGCAAATCCTGCAGCGATGGGCCGAGCACTTCCGAGGCGTCCTCAACCGCCCTTCCGTCTCCGAACCTGGTGGATACTTCTATTTTGACATGCACTGGTACCCAGCTCTCATTTGTGGCGCAACAATGTCGTGCTCAGCATGAAAGGCACATACCGGTAATCGACCTTGACCAGACGGATAAACCAGAAGATCGTGTATGGCGTTCGCTTGTCTCTACATCCCGTAGATCATGCACGAATACCAAACTTCCCTCAACCACTAACAAAAGTCCTACCGAGGAAGCAACAGCGAGCCCGTGCGCGGCCGGGACTAATTCGAGCCGCTTTTCCATTAGACAAAAGTCGTGGCCCATTGTGGGGTTCAGCAGCCGTCCGGGCTGACCCAGTTGTTCTATTTGAGAAATCACCGCTACTCTGTCAAAGTACAACGGTTGACGATTGGACGGTTTCCAAATCGAAGGACAGAGAAGCTGGGATTATAGGACAGCCTTTATTGAGGCGACGGGGCGTACACGCGGCAGAGGCAGAAAGTGTTCCCACAGCCATGTCAGCCGTCCGAGATGTTTTCCTGGGCACGAAGTGTGTGCCTACGCCTAAGCTTAGTGCGGCCGTGATCAATCAAATAAAAGATAAATATCGATCGGCCTAACGCCAAGCCGGCGGCTGTCACACGTGCGAGTAGTGGTTGACGGGCTTGGAAGAAGTTGCTACCGTCGAGAACCAGTGGAGAGGACTGCGGCCAATACCCTGGAGGTTCTCGGTCGCGCAGGCCGCCAGCACCAAAGTTGGCTCGATAAAAAGGACGAGGAAAGCCGCGTTCTCGTAGATGAGAGACGCAGTTCACACACGGCCTGCACCACCAGCAGCAACAATGCCAATAAAGCCGCATACTCGCGATGTGGACGCCCGGTACAAAAAACACTGAGGGACACAGAAGACGAAGATGCGATCACTGGAACAATAAATTTATTGGCCGGACGTTTCGGATTCTCACCCGAACCCGTCACCAGAGACGGTCGCAGATAAGGGTAACGGTGGCACAAAGAGTGCAGCATTTATAGCAGGTGGCTGCCATGGGACCATATGCGTACTGCAATTAACAGCTCTCGCAGTCACCCCTGGGGTCGTAGTTGATGCGATGTTGGCTTGCCACTCCGCGTCCGAGTCGTTAACTGCCGTGATTTCGTCATCCGTGCTGCATGCTGGTGTGACGATTGCTCGGCAAATTGGCTCACTGTCACAGGTATCATTCCCCGTCTGCGCCCTCCGTACGTAACTTATTCCCCTGTCCAGGGAAAATCTCTGAACAGGATACGGTGACGGGGGCTCATTGCGCCCCTTGATGGATTGCGGGCCTGAGAACCATGACTCGAGTAGCTCGCGGCTCACGCGGTTGCCACCCCTCGCGGGGATTTCTGCCTCCCGAAACTTGAAAATGTGACCGGGTCCCGTCGAATGAGCCGCCACCTGAGAGCTAACGTCTCCCCGCCTCACTGCTGCTGCGTGCTCGGCAACTCGCGTCCGGAGTAATCTATCAGTTTCTCCTACGTAGTTACTTTGTCCACAACTGCACCAGACCCGGTAAACGACTCCTGACGTTTCCTACTGTGGCAGTGGGTGTTTCGGCCTTATGACTTGGCGCCTGATGGTTGCTTCCGGCCTGTGTGAAACCCCAACTCCAAGTGGAGTGAGAAGAGGACTGACGGCTTCACGTACAGAAGAACCCGCCAAGACTTGGGACCGGTTAGATTTGATCTCTGGTGTCGTTTTCGTGTGAACTGGTTGACAAAGTTGCTCGGGTAGCCGTTGGCTCTCAGTGCCCGTCGAAAATATTGTAATTCAGCAGCTTCGTCTTCCGTTTCACTGTAAGCCGTTTCAACGTGCCGTATAGCGCCCTTCCGCAACCGCGTTTGTGATTGATCCGGTGGTTGCTGTTGAAGTTCAGTATTTGCGTCGTATTTGTCGTTTTCCTGAGCACCTTGGTTTCTAAGCCACCACAATCTTTGCAGCAGACGAGGACATCCGGAAAGGCCAGCTGAACGATCGGCTGGATCGAAAAATGAGGAGACACAGGTATATTCCGGCTGTGATGAAATGGAAAATTTAATCGCGGTCACCAAAGCAGTCTACGGTCCACAGGCGAAGGCGACCGCGCCACTGTTGAGCCAGGACGGAGAAACCCTCTTGACGCAGAAATCACGGATCTTGAAGTGGTGGAATGGCACCAGAAGCAGACGTAATTCTAGCCGAATTCCACAAGTATAGCGGCCCACAACTCATGGAAAAGTTTACCCCGCTGTTCCAACAGATGTGGAGCCAAGGACAACCCCGAAGGCACAGTGATGCCATCATCATGCGCAGCTACATACGCCAGTGGAGTCGGAAACTGTGGTAACCGCGGAGATATTCCTATTCTTCACATCGTGAGAAAAAAACTTCGCCCGTGTCCAACACAATCGGCTGAACACGTCTCTGGAGCAGTGACTCCTTCAAGAAACACAATACAGATCCCGCAAACACGGTGCCCGCGAGGTTCCAGTTGAAAAAAGTGCCAGATGCCTCCGCAGAATACTGGAGATGAAGGGATGAGAAAGGACCCCAGACACCGGAATCCTCGAAAGAATCGATGTCCTCAGTATCCACGCAATGCCGATAAAAGCGCGATGAAGAGGCCAAGTCGCAACGATGGATAACGAACGCCTGCCCAAGTGGCTATTCTACGGCGATGACACCATAGTGGCTCGCGGGCAATACAGACTTAGACATTGCTAAATTAACACTGAATGACCTCGCTTAAGATCAGCAGGTCTACGCACTGCCTAGAAACTGGAACAATCATCCTTAAGACCAACCTGACAGACGCCGCCAAGGCTTGCAGGCAACCAAGCCCCGCCATCGCACCCGGGTGGTCAACAGACACTTCGGACACGGATCGGCCTCGTCGGACATCACACCACGAGCAATGTTGACACGTCCAAACCATCTTTCATTTCACAGATCCCACTCACTCCCAGTGCGGACACTCGTGCCATTGTGCCCTCTACCACAATGTAGGCTCAGACTTGTCGACATTGCGACCGCACCTCTGAATCACACAGCAGCTTGGTCGACCACCTGCAATCCCATCGGGTTGTGACTAGTGCAACAGTGCATGGACTACTGACATGCGTCCGCCACCGGTCTCGGTAGTCCACACGGCTACAAGGACATTCGAATATCGCGCGGGTCTGCTCGCCATATGTACATCAGTGGTCTTCATAGATCAAACCGCAATACCTAGCTCTACATGCATAAATACTATCCTTAAGGCCACACGTGGGGCCTACCTCACAACACCTCTCTCCTACGCTCCATGTTTCCACCCCTTGCAACAAGCACGCGGTCCACAATGCCAGAGTCAGTATGATGGGTGAAGCATCGCACGCAATAACATCCACACATCACTTCAGTGAGAGGTGTACATCTTGCTGCGGTCCGGTACACGAAATGAGATCTAGGCAGCCTGGTTGTACAGCCTTGTCAAAAAATGCGTCAAATCTCAGCACCGGATGGTTGACAGGCTCGGACGGTGAACTGGAGCAAGCGGAGAGGGAAGATTGGGGTCGAAACCGGGGACCCATCCCCGCTGCCTAGCACAATAAACGCGACGCTCCCGAACCTACCACGACGTTCTAAGAGTCGTCGTTCGAAAGGTTGCTAGATGACGAGATATCTTGGCTCTTCAAAAAACTGAGGGCCAGACTGCGATGGCTATTTCTTAACGTGGCCTTTATGGCATTCTCACCTATGTGATTTTCGAGACCCCCCCCCGAATTTAACTCAGCAGATATGGAGCGTGGTCAGGTGGTGGGTACCACTCGTAGACGGGCCACTCGGCTTTGTCAGCCATTGCGTCTGAGACCACCTGCGGTCGTCTTGGTTTTGTTTCGCCATCGGAGCCTGGTGGGGATTTCGTAGGTTTCGACGGCCGAAATGTCATGCAGAGACCGACACCTTCATCAACGATTACAACCGAGCTGAGGTGGAACCCGGCGCTGTGCAGTCAGCATTGATCTTAATGACCGTACGTCGACGAATTTTCGAAGACGGCGAGACCCGTATTCAACCGAACAAACAACAGAACAGGTGTAGCGCACACAACCCGGTCCAATCTGTGAAATGGTATAGTCATCCCCAATTTGCCCAGCCAAGTAATTGAGAAGCAGTGTGCTTGAACATTCAGAGTTATTTCATTATGTTAAGGATAAACAAAGCAGACCTAAAATGCAAAAAAGTCTAGCTGGAAGTGGCGCTTAAACGCGCTTGCCAAACGTCAATGCAAAAACACTGGATGAGAGCGGAACGGTGTCAGCTACGCTTAGAGAGTCCAGAGGACGGTCAACCACAACGGTGAAATCGACAAATTACGAGGGTCATACAAACTACGGGAAAAAGTGAAAAATGTGCCAGCTTTGTAGAAGAGACTTCGATATTCCGAAACGTACAGTACTTATGAGATGCAAAGGAATAATGTTCATTGTTAAGCACACAGAGTGGAGCTGAGAAGTGGGATTGGATGTGACACCGGTTTGGTCTTCAGACAGGCGGCTTACATAATGGAGCATTTCTAAAAGAAAAAAGTGCAGAATACGCCAATTAAGATAATACAATAGGACAGGAAAGGAATCCATCTGAGCTGCAACTTCTAAAGATGGCTCAAACTTCTTAAATGAAAAAAGCGACCATTAAGGACGAGAAGAGGTAAAGGTATTCATAATTTACGACGGCGGTTTTGATTTCAAGCAAATGTTGTGGAATGTTTGAGAATCAAAACGACACCAAAGCGAACGCTGCCACAATGACTATTGCCATAATAAAAATCTGCGCGAACCAAATCAGCGTAATTGCGGCTTGGACTATTGGAATGACAACTGGTCATGTCCTTCGGAAGGAAAAATACAAAGTATAGCAAAGAGATGTGCAGGTGATTTGAACAAGAAAAGTTTAATGTAAGCCCATCCGAATGCACTTTTCTTTCCCAAAATACATCCTGAATATACCTTAAATAAGCACCCCCTTCCAGGGAAGACTAGTATACAGAATACGCACACAGGGATAAAAAATAAAGACAACTCGCCTCCTCAGAATGAGCCGTGGAACTGCC